CGCACGCACACACGCACGCACACACGCACACACACCACACACACGCGCACACACGCACGCACGCACGCAGCACACGCACACGCACACGCACACGCACACGCACACGCACACACACCACACACACACACACACACACACACACACACACACACACACACACACACACACACACACACACACACACACACACACACACACACGCACGCACGCACGCACGCACGCACGCACGCACGCACACCCACACACCCTGCCGAGCCGATTGGCGAACTGCGCTTGCTGGCTCTCCAGGGCGTGCTGCGCCCGCAGTGTTCGCGGGCCTGCGCTCGCCGGGGTTGGGCGCGGGCCGCTCTCACTCAACGGTCTTCTTCGCAATGGGTTCTGCCCGCCCCCGACGGGCCGTCTTGGGGCGCGCTTGGGCCGTCGCGGGTCCCTTCATCAGACGCTTGTTCTCGGGACCTCCCTAGAACCCACCTCGCGGATCTGGTCGACTCCTAGTTCGACCCCACCTCGACTCAAGTTCGCCTCAAGTTCGATTCAAGTTCGACGCTGGTTCGACTCAGGGTCGACTCAGGCTCGACTCACATCGACGTACGTTCGACGCAGTTTCGACGCACGAGTGGAGCGAGTGTTTCCAGGAAGGTCCCCAGAATGAAGATCCAACCTTGAGGGACCCTCGTTGGATGCTTTGATGGTCAGCCGTCTTTAACTATTATTGCCTCTCTGTGGACCTGTTGGAGAACCTCTTTGGGGCCTTTTTGGGTTGTTTCGGGAGCCTCTTGGACCACCTTGGGGCCGTCTTGCGGCCATCTCGAGCTGCGAAGACGGCCATCTTGGGTCATCTTAGAGTCCAATTTCGACCGCGCCAGCGGGATGCTGACATGGGCTGCCTAGGAGATCTTGGGCGGATTCGGGGGGAGGTGTTGTGCGCTCTGTCGAGGCGGTTTGCGCGCTTTGTTTGGGCTGGCGCGCGGCCAGCGGAAATGGTCTGCGGGGAGGATTTTGGACAGTATCCAAGTATCTTTCAAAGTTCGGCACGACAGGCACTCCTTCGATGAATTGATAGAGGGCGGCGGATCCAAGACGCATGCGCCGAATGACAGTCGCCCTCTGCCTCTGCCCTTGTGGAGAGGCTAAGGAGTTGCGGCCAATCATCGATGCAAATGGCGCTCGACCGTGGTGGAGTGCAATTTCTAAGACATGTTGTCCGGGACGACTGGGGGAGTGTGTGGAGTCTAGATTTACGGGCCGCCTTGGGGCTCTTTGGGGGCCCTCTGTCTGGTTTCACGTGATCATGATTGGGGCGCCTTGGTGCGCTCCAGAGCCGTAAAGGGCCCCTTGACGTCAGCATGGATTCTTTGGGCCGTTGGGGCGTTCTTTCGGGCCGTTCTGGGGCTCTTGTTACGCCGTCTTGAGCCACTCTGGGATCCTTCTTGGAACATGTTGGACCCTATTCTGGCGTCTCGGGCCCCTCTTGGGCCGTCTTGGTGCGCTCATGGCGGCCATATGGGGTCTTGTTCGGATTTGGTGGTCTGAATCCCGCAAAGGCCTCGTGCGAGAATGTTTGCCTTGTGGGATCAAGTTCTTGTGGCACCATCTACCGTACGTGATGCACTAGCTTGCTGGCCGAGCAGCTTGATAGAAGCAGAGGCGAATCATATTATGATATAATATGCGTCCATCCTGTCGCAGGACGGCAGTATGGCTCGAGTCAATGTGCTGTGGTTCATAGTTACTTGTTTGTGTCGATGATTGTTGGAACACGGTTTCGACTTGGACACCCGAAAATCGTTGGCACGGTGGCGGACAATAACTCGTGACGCGGGCTTCTCTCTGTGATGGGCCTGAGAGGTAATGAAGATACGATCCGATCGGTCCGATTCGAGATCGAGTCCAGCCAGCTCGATCCGATTCGCTTTCGATGCTCCGACGAGCCGATGCGGCGCGATGCTCCTGTGGTGCTGTTGTGCAGCCTGGCGCGGCCAACTCGATTCGATTCCGGCCCCGTGCCGATGATGCCCGAATAGAACACATTTTGATTTGATTCGATTTTTCCCTATTGGTGCTGACTGATCCCGTCTGCGGCACGGTTTCGGGAAATCACTCGTGACGTTGAGCTGATTTGTGAGTCTTGTGGCCCTTTCCCAGGCTCCCGACGTCGTGTTGTTGAAAACAACATGGGCCCCCAGAGGTCAAAAGCCAGTTGAGACAGTCCCAGGGATTGGTGAGGACCCCATGAGGCCCCAAACTGCCAAACGCCGTTCGTTGTGTTTTTTGCTCGACGCGAGGGGTCTGGTCTCAGGCGGCAGAAACACTTGCCTCGAGCGTGTCCGTGACTTCCTTCGATGCGCCAGGTACACCGGCATACAGAAGTCGGAGGAGGTCAGGAAGCACCTCAACAACTTCGCTCAGAGGTCGAACAACAACAACACATTGCATACATGAGCGGACAACGAGCTGTATGCAGTACCGGATATTCGAGTGGCCTTCGGTCCATCCCGCCACCGTGCCTGGGTTGTTGGTCAGAGGCCTCTTGGATGTTCGTTTGAATATCGTGGGAGGCCTCTCGGGGACCTCTTGGAGGCAGTTTTGAGGCCTCTTGGGGGCCGTTTGGGGGCCTCTTGAGGCCTCCTTTTGGGCCTTTCGGGGGCCTCGTGGGGCCTCTAGGGGGCCTCTTGGGCTCTCTTGCGGGCTGTTTGGGGGCCTCCTAGGGGCCTCTCGGGGCGGAAGGCTCGAATTGTCGGTTCGTGTTCTCCCTCTTGGGCCCGTCTTGCGGCCCTCTTGGGGGCGTCTTGGGCCGTCTTGGGGCGTTCTTGGGGTCCTCTGGGGCCATCTTGGAGCGCCGGAATATCGAAAACGCGAGAAGGGGAACACATCGAACAACACAAGGACCATCCATGATTTGTGCCTCTTTGGACCCTCTTGGGGGTGCCCTTGGAGCACTCTTGGGGCTTCTTTGGGGCCTCTTGGGCCATCTTGGGGCCATCTTGGGCGTTTGGCGGCATCTTGGGCCGGAAGTTGGCCTATATTTCTCGGGACGTTGCAGGGCACCCCCTGGCGGCGCCTCCAGCGCCGCTCCTGGCGCGCCCCGCGCGCCATGGAGTGGGGAAACCAAAAGATACACGCCAGTCGTTGAAAGCATGTATCTCTGTATTCCTTTATCCCAAGCGCCTTCCTACTGCAAGCATCGGTATGTGTTTGTTGTGCTTGTTGTTCTTTGAGCGGGCCCGAGCCCAACCTACTTTATCCGCCTTCGTACTTCATGGTTCGACCTACTCCTTCCGACTGGAGGGTACCCACACCGCTACTCCCCGGGTGCGTTCTGACAAGAGTTTTGATGCGAATCCAGCCGTGGCGACGAGGGTCTCCCAAGAGACCCAAGGAGGCAAAAACGAGGCAAGGGTAGTGGCACCATCACCTCTGAACGATTGCTTTCTGCCGCTACTGGCAAGCCGCCCCCCGCTCGCTCGAACCGGGAAAGGGGGGCGGGGGGGCGGGGATAAAATAGCCTCCTACTCCGACCCTGTAAAGGGGGGGTCGGACCCCCCTCCCTGGTTCGAACCGGAAGGGGGCAAGGGGTTGAGAGCCCCTCCCGGTTCAGACTAGGGGAGGGCGTGGGAGGGGGGAGAATTCCAGTACACTTGGATCCAGCCCTTGTGGGATATTAGCAGGCTGGATCTAGCCTGTTCCAGGTCGCATTCGAGCTGGAACAAACCCTAGTAAGGTTGCCTCAAGTCAGGGTCGAAATCTATTAGAGTTGAGTTGCACCCAGACCATGGAAGGGTCCTATTAGAGTTGGGTCCTAGTAGAGCTGCGTCCAGCTCGTAGTAGGATTCAAGTAGAGTTGGATCGAGCCCTCGAGTAGGATTTCATTAGAGCTGGATCCAGCCCTAGTTTTGTATTCGATGGGAGCTGGATCGAGCCTTTGTAGGATTCCAGAAGAGGCAGGATTCGATTAGAGCCAGCTCCAACCGGCCCCCCCGCCCCCCATTCGATCCAATGGGAGGGGGAGAGAACCCCTCCCCGCCTCCCCCCGTTTCCGGGAAGGGGGGGTGCTTCCCTCTCCTCCCCCCCAGTTCTGGGGTAGGGGGGGCTGGATTTTTTTTTTACCTCCCCTGGCTGGTTTCCCGGCGGGGGGGGGAGGCGAGGGGCGATTTGTTTCTGGAGGTCGGAAAGGGGTGTGGCATAAAGGGGCCTGGTGCCAATCGTGGAAATGGCGAGATGGCGATGCTACCTGCGATAAAGAACATCGCCGGAGTCCCATTTACATCAGATTAACACCACACCCCTTTATACCATACCCCTCTCCTACCTCCAGATTGTTTCCAGTCAAGCGACGGTAGATCGCGTTCCCTGGTACCTTCTTCTCCTCTGAGGGAGTGGCGTCCAGCTTTGGCCAAGGAAGCACGCGCGGACCTCCGAGAGCTTGAGTCCATGCTGTCTTTTCCAGTTTCCCGCCTCACGTCCTTGGGTGGGGATTCAAAACCAAATTCCCAGAGCTCCGACGTCGTGATGTCTGACGACGTCGCCCCCTAGTGGTCTGGACCCGTTACCAGGGGCAGTTTGTTTGTTCCGAGCCATTTATTGACGGCCCAGGGGCCCGCCGAGGGCCCGAGAGGCCGAAACGTTCGAAGTGCATCCGTCTTGTTCTTGTTCCATACTTCCAAATCCCTTATTATTCGACCCCCCCCTCGAAAACCGGATCCCCCTCCAAATGCGACCTAATATTCCGGACCCCCCTCTTCGACGGGGCGCCTGAATATTCCAGACCCCCTAAGCTCCAATCCAAAATAAGCGCCCTAGTAAACGTGACCCCCCCAGTTACAAAAAAGGCGCCTTGAAAAACCGGACCCGAGGGAAGATCAATAAGGGATTTGGAGTACGTGGTTCTTTGTTTGTGGTTTGTTGTTCCTCCGAACAGGGGCCTGTCCCACTTGGTGGAGCGCATCGCCGACGTGGACCCGCGCGTCGCCGCTGCGGCGCTCCGGTGCCTGCGTGAGCCTGTGCTGGCGGAGAGCCTGGAAGACGAGGAGTTCACGGGCACCGCTCGTGAATCACCGTGGTGGTTGCTAAGGGGATAGGGGGGGATATACGTGGATGCCAAGGTGGTTTATACAGTCGGACCGAGGTATAAGATCGAGGTCGGTTCTGGGAGGGTGCCCTAGTGTTTTTCTTGCTTGTTGGATGTTATTTTGCATCCTGGGGGAGGGTACCCTCGAAGGCACTTCAGTCTGGCCGGCGGGGGTCTCAGGCTCAGATGTTCTTCTGGCCTGGGCCCGATTGCACATGGCCAAGCACAGCCTCAGAGTGGGTTGGGCGGGCCCTGGGTGGCTTAAGATTTGGCTTTGAAAGGAGGGTTGGGCTCAGGGGGGACGCATCGACCCCCCAATCGCCCACTGATCGCCGACAGGGGCCCCGCAGCCCACCCCGCCCAGGATCGGACCTACTCGCCATCGGGAGCCTATCGCCGATCTGTCGGCGACGTATCGCCGATTCTGGTCCGATGTTTCCCCCCCCCCCTGAGCCGGCCCGCCTCTGCGGTGGGGGCGTTCCTTAAGGACTGTGCCCAGGAGGCGTCAGACCCTGGAGGAGTCCTTATCTGACATTGGCTGCGGTGTGACAGCCATGACCAGGCCTCGGTGGGTGTTCCATCCGCTTCCACACCCCGGGTTTCTGTCTTGTGGGTTCATCATTCAGGAATGAATTTCGCAAACATCACGAAACGAGACGGCGAGTGAAAAACGGAATGAAATCATTCAGACGAAACCGAGCGGTTCCGCTCGGTTTCGTCTGAATCTTGAATGGTTTTCCCACGAACCGAACGGAGTGAAAACGGGATTTTCAGACGTGTTGCGCGGATTCCACGTGTTGCAGCGGATTTTCACGTTGCCCCTCAGGAGTTCGACAGGATCGTCAACCTGGTCGTGGGCTCGCAGGACGACTCGGTCCGAGAGGAGGCGAGCGGGCGAGGAGGAGGGGGAGGTTTCGGAGGAGGCGTCGGCACCGATGCTGCTGGCCCTGTCCCGTTTTCGCCCCGTGGGGCCTGCTGGAGAGGCCCCCGTCGCCACGATAGGCTCCTCCCCATCCTCCTCCTCCTTCTCGTCCTCCTGCTCCTCCTCCCTGCATCCCTCCCTCATTCCCTCCCTCCCTCCCTTCCTGCCTCTTGGGTTTGCCTCCAATTTCTGGTCAAACCGCGCCCCTGTAGAGGTCCAGGGAGCAGTGGTACAGCAGTGCCTGTTGGGCCCCCCAGGAAGGGGAGGGGGGAGGGGCTCGGCGTGGGCATGGGATCAGTGGCAAGAGTCGCACTGCCACCGGCGCGGGTGCATGCGGGCTCCGGGAAGGGGGGCGGCTCAGAGAGGAACGAGTGCGTCGTCGGTTGAGACCAGGTGTTGCAGGGTGGCACCTCCGAGTCACCCACGTCGCCAAAGTGCACTTGCACAGTTACATACATAACATCTCGAGGCCAGTGACACCACAAGGTATTGGCAATCGCCCAGGAGGGATTAGCGCATGGACACCATGTCAGAGAAGCCAAAGTTGAGGGGGAGGGAGGATGGAAGGAGGAGGGATGGAAGAGGAGTGGTGGAAGGAGAAGGGTCAGAGAGGAGCAGGGGGAGGGAGGGATGGAAGAGGAGTTGAGGGTAGAAGGAAGGGCAGCCACGACGACGATTCCATCGGAGAGGAAGCCCATTGGCGCCCTCATCATGCCCGCAAGTCCCCCCTCGCCTGCTCCTCTCTTGTTCCCTTTGGGCGAGGATGCCTGCGGTCCCCAAAGGGCTTAACCAAACACCTAGCAAGGCGCGGGCGAAACACGCCCTGGCACACAACAGTGCCATCACCATCTCCCTTTGCAAACAGGGCACGCGTGTGCAAATAGGAAGCAGGCACAAGCTGAATCCGTCCTCCGGCTCCTATTATTGGCTAACCCCCAATAGCGCCGGAATAGCCGTGCCTAAAGGGGGAAACCAGCAATAGGAAGCAACGGGCAGGACCTGAGCATTAGACCAGCGACCGCAAACCCCGCAGGGCAAGGTCGCCCTCTGGCACCTTCCCCCCAGCCAACAGGCGGGGCTGGAGGAGGCCCCATCAGGGGCGGGGTTGGTCCAGTGCTGGGCCCACCCTGCAAGCCAACACGGAGCGGTTTCCAGCGCCAAAACCTCATCATAACACGGCAAACAGTGTGGCAGTGATGAGGACTGAGACAGGAGCAGCACGAGGAGGCGACAGGGGGGAGACGGAGAGGAGGAGGAGGAAGAGGAGGAGGAGGAGGAGGTGGAGGAGGAGGAGGAGGAGGAGGAGGAGGAGGGAGGAGGAGCTGAGGCGCCTTTCGCCATCAGCCTCACAGCTCCCTAAACAGCGATGCTGTAGGGTCAGCTTCGAGTATTAGGGTGTGTTGTGTGGCATATGTGAGCTTCTCGGGACCCGCTGTGCTTCTCTAGCTGTTGAGGGTCTCTTGTCCTCCTCCTCCTCCTCCTCCTCCTCCTCGTCCTCCTCGTCCTCCTCCTCCTCCTCCTCCTCCTCCTCCTTCCTCCCACTGCCGTAGCAGGAGCATATGCTTGATGGGGGAGGGGGGCGGGTAATCAGCGTATGGGAGGGGTGGATGGCGAGAAGAGACGACAAACGCGACGACGGCGACAGCGACGACGTGCCGAGACGGCACACGCTGTCGCCCATCGTACGTTTTGCCCTCGATGGCTGCATCGAGGCACGGGGAGTCATCCCTCTCCATATTTTTGTCAGTCGCCGAGCTGTGTGTTGGCCTTCAGACCTATGCGAATGGAAAGGGGAGGAGGAGGAGGAGGAGGAGGAGGAGGAGGAGGAGTGAGGAGGAGGAGGAGGAGGAGGAGGAGGAGGCGGAGCTGGAGAATGGGGAGAAAGTGGAGGACGACGATGGCCCGTCAGGGAGGAGGCCCAAGACCCACATAACACGCAGCAGTCTTTTTGGGCGAGAAGACTGGAGGACGATGAGAGGAGGATGAACATGTGGATGAACATAACGATCACGATGAGGACGACGATGCTACTGGATTTTGCTATCACTCGGTTTAGCGAGGGGTGCTCATGGGTAGCTCGAACTGAAGGCGCACTGCAACATTGACGTGATATGAAGGCCTGTGCGCTCTGCGTGCCCAGCATCGAGCAGCCGCATGAAGAGCAATGTTTGGAGAACCGCGCTGGTTCCTGGGTTGGCGCGGACCTTCGAAAGTCTGTGCATGTGCAGTTTTGGATTCTTCCAGCTCCTCTCCCCTCTCTTCTCTCCCCCTCCGCCCGAATCCGGGGCCACGATCACCTGTTGGAGATGCTGCCCATCCCCTTCTCCTGTTGAAGCAGCAAGTTTGTGTCGATCCTCTAGTGGATGGAGGGAGGGGGTCCAGACCCCTGATGTCATGGTCTTGTGGCAGCGTCGACCCCCAGGTACCTCGACCGCTTCCCCGGGATCGGCTGTGCAGCCAGGGTCGTTTTCTGACGCTGCTGGGGTTTTGCGAGGGCCTCCATAGAGTGGAAATGGTCAAAGACTGGTCGTCGTGAATGCTTCGCGATGCAAGCGGTGTGAGTTTTCAGATCAGAGCTCGGGTCTCGGGCGGCCGTTCGGGACGATCTGGGCACCCCCGGAACGCTCTCGGCGAGGCGCAGCTGCAGAAGAACGCTCGAAGACGGGAAAACCTCAGAGGGGCCACGAAAACCTTTGAGGGGTCGTCCACGAGAGGGTGATGACTGGATCTCCTGGCGGGGTTCATGAGACCCGGGGCCTCATGGCCCCCTCTCCTCCTTTACTTCCACCCCCTGGCCTTAAGTCGGGCCTGTCCCTCTACAGGGGGATTATTCAATAGTCAAGAAATAATATGGTGATTTTTTTTTGATTCCAAGCATTTCGGGAATATGTTTGAATATTTTTGTTTTTCGCCCAAAATCCCCCTGCAAGAGGACAGATCCGACCTAACCCTGGCCCCCTCTCGTCCGCGCACGAACTTCGAGCCAGGAGTTGTTGGCGCCCCCCCCACGGGAAGAGGGAGGCGTACGCGGCGACGGCCCCCCCCCCTCCCCCCCCGGGAGGCCGCGCTGTTCATCAACTCCCATGTCTTCCAGGACCCTGGCATCTGCGGCCACGTCCTGGCGACGCGCGGGGCAGCAAAAGGGTCAGGAAGACAAGTATTGGGTTAGGAGGACGGGGTTGGGAGAAATGCGGATATCCTTACCCGTAGGCGGCCAAAGATATCGTTCATTGCATCTGGATGCTATTGCTCATGCCCTTCATCCTCCCAACCACTTCCTCCCAACACGATCTGCTCTCCTCAAAGGCTCGATGGCTCTCAAGACGTGCGTTAGCCCAGTGTGTGTTTACCCCGCTCGGCTCCACACACAGAACGATGCAGCTTCTGTCGGCCAGTGTGAAAAGCACTGCCTGCGTCGTGCTGAAGGGCTTCAGTGGACAAACACACGCTGGCGCTCACACACATCCCGAGGGTCATTGGAGCGGGTGGGGGCCTGCCGCATCCACCCCCCCCTTCGCGGGGATGGCGGAGGAGGAGGAAGAAGAGGAGGAGGAGGAGGAGGAAGAGGAGGAGGGAGAGGAGGTTGATGATGAGGAGGGTGAGGAGGAGGAGGAGGAGGAGGAGGAGGCGGAGGCGGTGGAGGAGGAGGAGGAGGAGGAGGAGGAGGAGGAGGAGGAGGAGGAGGATGAGGACAAGCAGGAGAGGGAGAAAAGGGGGGTGGGATCCAGAATTAAGGCCTGATGGGCTCGGATGATCGCGCCGCATCCCCGATGCGTCGGCGATGCGGCTCGATGTGGAGCCAGATTTTCCCCACGCCGACGGCGCCGATGCATCGCCCACGTTGCCAATACATCGCCGATGCATCGGCGAAGCGGCGCGATGTGGCGACCCCAGGTACCCGGACCCCAAATCGGAGGCCTCCTGAGGAGGGGGGGTGGGGGGATCCATACAGTCAAAACTGGGGTAAGGATGATCGACTTCCCAGGGGTGCCCATGCATCCTTGCCTCTTTGGTCGTCTTCGGCCCCTCCTTAACCCCTTTCGATGGCCAGCACTGCCCGAAGAGTCTCGACAAGGACGTCCAAGCCCTTGCACCCTTAGTATCATTGGCGGCGAGCCCGGGGGAAAGTGAGAAGGGGCGGGCCTTCTCAGAAGGCTCGGAAGTCCCCCAGCCTTATGAGAAGTGTTCTGAGCCTTCCCCTGAAGACAAAGAAGACTTCTCAGAGGGCGCGAGGGTTTCTGAGAGGTCCCGCCGCCTTCGGAGAAGGCCTTCTCCATCTCCTTGGCACCGCTCGGACTCGTGTGTGTGTGTGTGTTTTTCCCCTCGAGGCCCACCGAGGAGCACCTTGGAGCATCTGGCGCAACACAACAGCACGCACGAGACCGAACGGTAGCACGGGGAATGGACGCCCGAGCGATGGCGAGTCTCGCCTTCCCCCCCTCGCTCGCCGCCGATATGACTTCCGACTGTGCCCACTCGATCGGAGAGGGAGCAGGGAGGAGGAGGAGGAGGAGGAGGAGGAGGTGGAGGAGGAGGAGGTGGAGGAGGAGGACAGGAGGGAGGGGGGGCCTTCGGGGCCTCGTGGGGGGGGCGCTCTCTTCGTCGAGGGCTCCCCCGCCGCCACGGCTCGCCTCCTCTCCTCTCGAGCTGCGGCGATGTGGGCCTTCGGGGGCCTTGGGACGGCGGTGGTCAATGCACACGGGGGGTCAGCCAGAGCGCCGGATCCTGCGGGATCCTACAGAGCCAGTCGTGCACTGACCCGGGCTCGCGTGCGCAGGATACGGCAGGATCCCGCATGATTTCTGCAGGATCCTGCGACGCCTGACTGGCCCAGGGGTGCTTTCCCCTGGGGCAGTGCGTCCCTGAGGTCTGGGGGTCGACTTTGAGGTGGGACCCCCTCGCGCCGTGAGCAAAAGCACGCCGGCAGGCTTGTTTCGGCAGCATTCGGCCACCTGGGGGCCTCTTCCGGGGACTTGGGCCGTGAAAGAACGGCTCGGGATGGCCAGCTGGTCCAATAGCAGGGGGTCCATACCCCCAGGGGTCCACTTTGCGAAGTCGCTGGGTTAGGAATCCAGTGCAAGGAGTAAGGGGAGATTGACAGGAGTGGTCAACACCACGGGGGGTAGAGGCAACGGGTGCAGCCCCCCCGCGCGTGCCCTGCACCAGATGTGCATTAACCCCATCCAACCCCCGTCGAAGCCTCGGGCGGACCTGGAAGGGAAGGGGGGATGGAGAGGATCAGCCACGCGCAGAGGGGGTTCGGGGGAGAGGGGAAGGCTTCTCAGAAGCACCCCTGCTTCTTATTACGCGCGGGCCTCGTCCGTAGATGTAGGGCCTGCGCCTTCCAAGAAGCAGCTTCCTTCCCAAGAGGCCTTCTCCCCTCCCCCGACCCCCCGTGCGCGCGCCGCCAAATGAAGGGAGAGGACGAGTGGGATTCGGATGTGTGTGTGGGGAATGAGGGAGGGGAGCTGCTGCTGTTCGTGGGGGAAGAGAGGGAGGGAGGGAGGGAGGGAGGGAGGAGAGGTACTCCCGCTCGGGATCCTCCTCCCAGATACTTCACCGTCTCCCGCTCCTTCTCCCCCCGGTATCGACTCTCTCTAGAAACGCATCGAATTCCCCAGAACTCCCTCACGAATAACCCCGGAAGCCTTCCCTCCTTCCTCCTCCTCTCCACTCCTCCCTCCTCCCTCCTCCACCCTTCTCCGTTTCTCCGTTCATCGCCTCGTTCTTCTTCTCTCTCTCTCTCTCTTTCTCTTCCTCCGCCTCGCGCTTTGTCGATCCCCTGCCCCCCCAAAGGATCAGGCGATCGCAAACATGGATCAAGGGGGCGTGGATTAGCGACGGGTCCCGTTTGCATAGGAAATCTGGGATTTCCGCCGCCGAACGAGGCGGCACCGGGCAGATTTTGGGGAGGTGCCCCACATTCATGGATCGCTAATCCATGTTTGCGCCCCCCAAAGGAGAGGCGCAAGGCGGGACGCCCGAAGGCTGGCGCAGACGGCGGCGGGGCGGAGGACGGCGGAGAGGTGGGCGAGGGCGGCGAGAGCAACCGGGGCCCGGACGCCGTCCGAGAGCTGTACAACTCGGAGACCAGCATCTCGATGCTGGAGGGGAGGGGGGGCAGGGTCGAGGAGGAGGAGGAGGCGGAGGAGGCGGAGGAGGAGGAGGAGGAGGACGTCAGCGCTCGCTCTCCTCTCCGAGCCTCGGGCTCGCGCGCTGGCCGCCACTGTGCGGTTCCAGCTCACTCGGCGGTGATCGCAGTCAAGGACCTGCCGCGTTCTCTGGATACGTGCGAGGAGGAGGAGGACGATCGATGATGATGATGATGATGATGATGATGATGATGATGATGATGATGATGATGATGATGATGATGATGATGGTGATGGTGATGGTGATGGTGATGGTGATGGTGATGATGATGTTGTTGATGATACCGATGATGCTGATGCTGATGATGATGATGCTGATGATTATGATGATGTCGATGATGCTGATGCTGATGATGATGTTGATGATGCACATGATGATGCAGATGATGACAATCATGAAAACGATGATGACGATGATGATGATGCTGATGATGATGATATTGATGATGATGATGATGATGATGATTATGATGATAGTGCTGATGATTATGCACATGATGAGTGCACATGATAGTGCTGATGATTATGCACATGCTGATAGTGCTGATGATTATGCACATGATGATGATTAGGGCCTGCCGCCGGTACCACAAGCATATTTGGACGAACACAGCTTGTCACAATGCTCGGTTTGCCAGCGGTACTTCCACTCGCGCTACGGGCGCGTGTGTCCGCGGTGCCGCCCCGCTGCGCGAGCTGCTGCTGCCGAGGCCGCGCCGGCGGCTGACGACGGCGCCCCCCGGCCGCGCGGCTTGCCTACCTGGCAAGAGGTCTTTTCCCGACGAGCCAGCACAAAGCACTACGTGCCCAAGGGGGCGCGGGCCCTGTGGGCCCGCTGCCTGGCGCAGGCGGCGGCGCTCGCCGTGCACCGAAATACGGAGGAGGCTTGGCTCCAGTTTGCCATGCTGCCCAAGTGTGTCCTCCGCCCGCACACGCGCGGGGGCCGCGGCAGCAGGAGCGCGGCGGAAGCTCTGACCAAGAACCTCTGCCAGCGCTGGCTGGAGGGAGAGCGCGCTTCGCTCTGGGCGGAGACCGCGGACAGGCGAGCCACTGCAAAACCCTCCCGCGCGGCTCAGAGAGCGCAGCGCTGCCTGGAACTCTCGGCGGACGCGCGGTACTCCAAGGGCTGCTCGGCGCTCACCAGCGAGCCCCCGGCGGAGGTCACCACAGCAGTGCTGGAGCAGATGCGTCAGAAGCACCCGAGCAGCCAGCGGGACGCCGCCAGCCTCCCCGCGGTCAACGCGGCGGCGGTGCCGCAGCTAGACACCGCCTCGCTCGAGCGCGAGGTGCGGGCCTTCCCTCGGGGCTCCGCTCCGGGCCCCTCCGGCTTGCGGCCGCAACACCTCAAGGACGCGCTGCAGACGGCGGCCCACCGCGACGAGGTGCTGCAGCAGCTGCTCGGACTCGCCAACCTCCTCGCGAAGGGTCAAGCCCCCCCCGCGTGGCGGACTACCTGGCTGGCGCCTCGCTGGTGGCCCTACCCAAGAAGGACGGCGGCTTTCGACCGGTGGCCGTGGGGGAGACCGTGCGGCGCCTGGTGGCGAAGTGCCTTTGCAGCCAAGTCTCTGACGCCGCCCGAGACCGCCTCGCCCCCCTGCAGGTAGGCGTCGCCCTCCCGGGCGGCTGCGAGGCCGCGGTTCACGTGTCCCGACAGTGGTTCGCGCGCCACGCTGGCAGCAGGCAGAAGGTGTTCGTTAAGCTTGACTTAAGCAACGCTTTCAACACCCTCGACCGCCAAGCCCTCCTGCAAGCGGTGCACGAGGAGCTGCCCGCTCTTGCGCCCCGGGCTTCCTGGTGCTACCGGGCCCCCTCCCTGCTCTGGCTCGGCCAGCACTCGATCCGCTCGGAATGCGGCGTGCAGCAGGGGGGCCCACTGGGGCCGCTGCTCTTCTCCCTAGCGCTGCAGCGCGCTGCCGAGAGGGCTCTCCGCCAGCCCGCCCCCGCGGCCGCGGGCGCCCTGGACCTGACTTTCTTTTTCCTCGACGACGGCACCCTTGCGGGCGACTGGCAGGGCGTGGCGCGCCTGCTCCACCTGCTGGTGGGAGAGCTGGCGACCGTGGGACTCCGCCTGAGCACGGGGCCCGGGAAATGTGAAGTGGTCCCCACTGGCGGCAACGACAGCGAGGTGGATCTGCAGGCCTTCCCCCCGGGCTTCCGCCTGCGCGCGGACGGCTGCTTCGAGCTCCTGGGCGCGCCAGCGGGCAGCGACGCCTTCTGCCTCGAGCACGCCCGGCAGCGAGTCGACAAGGCCACCGAGCTCCTCGAAGCACTCGGCGCCCTCGAGTTCGCCCAGGTTGCGCTCCACCTGCTACGGCAGTGCGCCGGCTTCTGCAGACTCAGCTACTCGGCGCGGGTTGTCCCGCCCAATGTGCACGCGGAAGCGCTGGTCAAGCTGGGCAACGCAGTGCGCGCCAGACTCGAGCAGCTGAGCAGCAGCTCCCCCGCGGACGACTCCTGGGCACAGGCGCAGCTCGCCCTCAAGGCAGGCGGCCTGGGGCTGCGCTCGGCGGAGCGCCACGCGCCCGCCGCCTACTTGGCTTCCCGCGCGGCCTGCTCTGCGCTCTGCCAGCCGCTCTGGGCGGGCTGCTCCGACGACGACACTGGCGCCGACGGCGCCCTGGGCGCTGCCGCGGCGGCCTATAACGCCCGGCTAACACTGGCAGATCGGATCGCTTTCGACGCCAGCCAGCACGGCAACCAGCGGGGGCTCTCTGACCGGCTGGACCAGGCCGCCAAGGCCGAACTCTGGGAACGCGCTTGCCCCGCCACCAGGGCCCACCTCTCGCTGGTCAGTGCCCCTGGCGCCAGCGGCTGGCTGCAGGCGCGGCCCTGTGCTGAGGTTGGCACGGAGTTCCCGCGCGGCTTGATGCAGATTGCTCTGCAGAGGCGCTTGCGGGTGCAGCTGGCGGACGCAGAGACCTACTGCCCGGCTTGCGACGGCATCCTCGACGTCTACGGCGACCACGCGCTGGTCTGTCCTTGCCGAGGGGGCCGAGTCAAGCGGCACAACGCCTTACGAGACCAGGCTTTCTTCGCCGCGCAAGCCGCGGGGCTCCCAGGCTCCGAGCTCGAACGGCCTGGCCTTCTGCAGCCTCGCGCGAGCGGCGAGGGCCCGCCTGGGGCGGAAGAGAACGGCGGCGAGCTCGATGACGGCGGCCGACGCCCGGCGGATGTGTATATTCCCCGTTGGCGCAACGGCGCCCCAGCCGCCCCTGACTTCGCGGTCACCTCGGGGCTGCGGGGCGACCTGCTCGCCGCCTCGGCTGCCGCGCCTGGCGCCGCGGCCGAGCGCTACGAGGAGCAAAAACGCTTCTTCCTCAACACCGAGCGCAGCTGCGCCGCCGCTGGGATCACCTTCATTCCCATGGTGGTCGAGGCGCGCGGCGGCGGCTGGGGCAAGGAGGCGCGACGCGCCCTGGCCGTCCTGGCCAAGCGCGCGGCAGACGCCGCGGGGGGCGACCCCTCGCAGGTGGCGGCGGAGCACGCCCAGCGACTCTCGCATCTCCTCCAAAGGGAGAACGCGCGGGCCGTGCTCCGCAGGCTACAGGCGCCGGTCGGGGCGCCCGCGGCCAGGTTTGCGGCGGCCACGGCGGCCAACGCGGCCGACGCCGCCTGAGCTGCCGGCCCACTCCCCCTCCCCTGACTACGACCACCGCCCCCGGCCCGCCCCAACGACCGCGACCGCCCCCGACGCCCTGCCCTGACTTGACCACGACCGCCCCGACGACTACGACCGCCCCCGACGACCACGACAGCCCCCGTCGACCAACGCCCCCGACGCCCTGCCCTGACCACGACCGCCCCGACAACCACGACCCTCCCCGACGACCACGACCGCCCCCGACGACCAACGCCCCCGACGCCCTGCCCTGACCACGACCGCCCCCTTCCCCGTCCACGACGACGACCTCCTCCGTCCGCCCCCTCGTTCCTGCTTGCTCTGCGCTGCCTCTGCCGCTCCCCTCCCTCCTCCTGTCCTGTCCGGCGTTCGTTCGCAATGTTTTTTCTTTTTGCCCCTCCTCCTCCTCCTCCTCCTCCTCCTCCTCCGCCTCTTCCCTCTTCTCTTCCGTGCCTCCTTGAGCTTTGGCGCTGACTCTCGGCTAGTTGGTAGGGTCGGCCTGCTCGGCCTTCGTCGCCGTCGGCGAGATGAGCTGTGCGGTTGGCCTCAGATCTTTGGGGCCTCTTCAGGCCCTCTTGGCTTGTTTTGGGCTGTCTTGGGGGCTTCGTGGGCTGTTGTTGGACCCTCTTCGGCCCTTCTTGGGGTTCCCTTTGGCCGTCCGGGGGCGATATTGGAGGTTCATTTGCCCGATGATGTTTGTTTGGTCCTGGCGGTTTCCTTATAAATTCCTCTCGCTTCGCGGGGTGCACGTCCGGAGCACGTACAGTCCAGTCGTTGCGGGGCCGGCCTCTTGGGAGCTTCTTTGTGGCCTCTTGGAGGTGTCTTGGGGGCTTCTTGGGGCCTCTTCTGCACTGGGCTTCTTTAGGGCCTCTTGGGACCTCTTGCGGGCGTCTTGGGCCGTCTGGGGGCGCTCTTGCGGCGTGCGCCCCGTTCGGAAGCCGGTCTGGGAGCCTCTCGCGGCCGTTTTGAGGCTTTCTTGGGATCCTCTTGAGTTGGGCCGTCTTCGGGCCTGCTTGGGCCTTCATGGAGGCCTTTTGATAGTTGTTTGGGCTGTCTTGGGGCCATTTTGGAGGCTGCTTGGGCCGTCATGGGCCTCTGAGAGTCGAAAAAAGCGAGAACGTCCCGTGCCTGGGTAGTGGGTCAGAGTGGCGGCTCGTCTTGCCCGTGCGCGTGGGTAATTAGTAGGTCAGAGTCCTCAGGGATGCTCCTTAGGGTCTTCTCGGAGGGCTCTCGGGGGCCTATGGGTGGCAGTTTGAGGCCTCTTGGAAGCCTCTTGGGGGACTCTTGGGGGCTGGTTGGAGGCCTCCTGTGACTTCTTGGGGGCCTCTTACGACGA